TATACTTTTTATTTTAAAATTACATCCCGTAAAACGAATTTTTACCAACTTTTGTGTTTTCCATTTTTGCTGTAAGATTTCTAGTGTCTTTCTGTTCCACAAACATTTGTAAGAATTGATCTTCTCCTGGGGTCTCAAGCGCCTGAACTGTGGAGAGCTGGTTATGTTTGAAAGCACCACGTATAGCAGCTAAATATTTTATAAGAAAGATCTTTACAACAAAACTTAAAAAAAACAGCGACATCGGTTTAGTTTAGAAATTTGATAACATCTCACCGTTGTAATGGAACACTGAGTTCAATTATTGATTTATTTTGTACCTGTTACCTATGAGGAGACAGTGTTTACTGCTGCTGTGGTTATCTGTGGTATATTAACATAGCTGATATATATTCCTCTTAAATATAGGATTATTTCTTTCCTCTTAAGATAAAAAAAAATTAAAATGCCATCTTAATTTCGCATGGGTTTACTGTAAGATTAGAACTAGACAGAACAAAAATAAAGTAAACATAGCTTTCTTGTTTATTATCCTTTGTACAAAACTATGTGTATTCTAAAACATAATATATACATTAAGATTTAAAATTGAAAAATAAGCAAACACGATTTAATTTTGGAATTCGTTTGAATCGAACCAGCATTTCTTCAGTTAAATTGTATTGTATTATGCTGTTTCGAATGACGTAAACAGTATATACTAGTAACAAGTTGTTCTAAATATGCACATATTTAAATATGTTACTTATATGTTATTTATAAGCTACTTATGTCAAGAAATTATTTCTGTCTATTATAGAGTGGGGGAGGGGAATTCTGGGCCATGAGTCATATTTGTCTCTTATAGAGTCGAGTCGATGGAAAATTATCTGCATTTATTTTTAGAATCTTTTAAAAAAAAAACTTTCTTGCTCAACTTACAGAACATACATTTACATCTCAAAAATGGCCCAAAACAAAAAGACTTTTTAAACTAAGGTGTCTCTGTAAACGATTTCTAAATAAACCTGGTGCCCTTATTTGTGAGAGCGGTAGAGAGGATGAATGATAAATAAAATATACGCACTCATAAGCTGGCCAGCTCGCGATAGTTGGAGAGCTCTTCACACTGAAAAAAAAAGTTTCTTTATCCTGAAATGGTTGCAATGTCAATCGATTCCCATGATTCTTCTCCGCTGTAGGCAGCGGTATTCTACTTACATTGAGTGTAGGTAGTCGTAGTGTACTTACATGAAGTGTAGGTGGTGTAATTCTACTCTTACATAAAGTGCAGGCAGTGGTATTCTCCTTACATGAAGTGCAGACAATGTTATTATGCTTACATGAAGTGTAGGCGGTGGTATTATACTTTTAGGTTACGCTTCGCTGAGGGGAGAGCGACCGTCTTCTAAACTACGCCACCCCCCCCCCCCCCTCGACGTAATAGAAATAATGTGTATTTTATGTAGAAAAAAATAATTTAACCGCCCCACCCAATTTCGTCACTTCAGAAATTTTTCAAAATGCCCCCTACAACGCCCTCGCCGGAGAAAAATGTCTAAAAGAAAGAACAGTTATGCGTGCAATAAAAATAGACTCTGTTACATTTAGTTGCAGGCAATAAAAAATAATCTCTAGCTTTTGTTCTAGTACAACATTTTTTTTCATCTGCTGCGAGAAAATTCGGGTATCAGACTATCTGGATAAAAATGTGTTTTATAAGAGGCGAGGTGGTTTCAGTTGACCTATAATAAAACACAGTAGAGAGTCATGGCGTCCAGCTGACGGAAAAATAATTAAACATGACGTCTTATCGTTGTAGAAGGTTGTAACGGGTGGAATTTGAAGTGTAGTTATGAAGGTTAGATGATAACGTTAAGCCGGCAGCGTTGGTCGAATATATCTGAGGTCGGGGTGCCCTGTTCGTGTGTGGACCAGTTTTGTCGCGGGTTTGAAGCTTACAAGAACAGCGGTGTTTAGGGAGGGGGGGGGGGGGTAATTTAGATGGAAGAGTTAGCACACAGTCTGGCTTTCTCTCAGGGATAAACATGCTATGGGCATGACGAGACGTTATTATAATGAAAGCTCTTTGATGCCGACGAGAACATTCAAACAACCACATTCAATTATATTCTCACACACACGCACACACACACAAACACACACGCACATACAAACACACACACTTACACACATACAAACACATACACATACACACAAACTCACACACATAATTACAGATATTGTTTTATTGTAAGAAAAAAACCTTACAATTTGTACAGCAAATGTATACATTAGACATTCATTAAAGCTTCGAAAGTTTGTTTATCCGTTTACTACTGTAATTAATATAACTATATATATATATATATAAAGTATAAAGTGTATAAATTTATATAACACAATAGTTTTACCTTCATAATTAGATTTCTGTTCAATATAATTGTTGTTTTAATTGCATTCGTCTATTGCATAAAACAATGCAAATCTAAATCACATCACAAACCATTTTATTGATAATAAATCTTGGTAATTATTTTAACAATATATCTTATATGATTAGTTATTAAAACTATTTGTATGATATACATTTTCTATTTTGACAATCTTTTAATAACTATAAAGCTATAATAATTACCTAAAATTTTAATTAACACTACAATAACTGATTAGAATTGTTCAGTAAAATCAATATTTGAATTATTTTTAGAAAATATGATTGTGATATTTATTTGTTGCCAAGAGACTGCATGTATTAAAGCCAGATCTAATGAATGCATATTTTAAAGTCAGTTTAACTACCTTAGAGGTTTTAAAATAATCTTGTTTTACGAGAGGTCACTGTGATCTCTGTTGACCTATAATAAAACACAGCCAGGTACTGCTGATTCCAAAAAAAAAATGGCAGAAAAAAAAAAATCATCACGCATTATAAACAAACATCACAGCATGTTAACCTCAGCTGTAGAGCGTGGATGTGGGTTTGTTAAATTTAATACACCGTACTAACGTCAATTGTAGATGTGGGTTTGTTAACGTTAAGCCCAGTTTAAGGGTCAGGATGACCTTTGTATTCTGTAAATCGCGGCCAATGTTTCCTAGGTCAGTGACCTGTCGAGTCAGGATACTGTTTTGACCTTAGTCTCTCGGGTTTGATACCAACAACATGATTTTAAGGCGGTGCGCTCTAATAAAAAACATTATTTAAGAGATAGAAACAAATCTAATTTAAGTACATTATAGCTGGAGAAAATTTTAATTAGAAAACATTTTTAAGATATGAATATGTTTACATAAGTGTAGGAATATAATGAACGTGTTTATGTTAAAAGTCAGGGATACATAGTGCATACATAGATGTTTTAAATGGAAATTTAATCAATCTTTCCTTTTCATCAAACTTTCAAAAGCCATTTATTTAAAAACTGTATAACATTTTATTGTTGAACAGATACTAGAATCCCTTTTCTTTCTTCGGACAAGTCCTAAATGTCAAAATTAACTGATTTCATAATGATTGCTACATTTACATTTGAGGTAGTAAGGTCTGTTTGTGTTTTTATTTTTCTATCAACCATGTTTGCTGTGTTTAGTTGAAATATAAAAATGTATAATGAATAACACACACAACAAAATGATTGGTTTTCACACGAAGAATTTGAGTGCGGTATTCGTGAAATTAAAGCGCTTTAAGAAAAAACTAATTTAAACTTATCTTCACACGTTAGAGATAAGAAATCGCTAATTTTTAAGCTCTTTTGAGAATGTCTGCAAAATTATTTTTTAACTTCAAGTATGTGGAGCAGGCTTGAGGTGTTTTTTTAGATGTTTAGCGTGGGTAGAGATGTTAGCTAAAGCTAAAAGGTTTTTAAACTTTACAGGAATAAGCGTGAGTAGAGATGTTAGCTAAAGCTAAAAGGTTTTTAAACGTTACAGGAGAAAGCTGGATCGGAAAAGAAGTTCCATATAGAAA